CAGGCCCGGGATTTGCTGGAGGAAACCAAAGCCGGCCAGAATTGTCATTGGCTGCCTATGTGGGCAACGCCGGCAAAAACCTATTATTTTGAAGCAATTCGTTGCTCAAATGCACGAGAACAACTTGCACACTGCAGAAACTGCGGCCAAACGCAAAACAGCCAACCGTCACAACTTTGGAGTTTTTACAGGCACAATCACCAATCGTTTCTCCCACGCCGGCGCCCACCGTACCCGTGCACAAGTTGGTTTGTTGATTGATTGAGTTTTGGAATGCAGAGCTTGCGGCGTCAAGGTAGACACGTTACATAGGTGTCGCTGCTGGCTTCAATCTCGAATCTTGAACAGAGCTACAACTTTTTTGAACTGTAGGCATGCGCATGTCCTGCTTTTGGTTTTATCTCATATTTTCGAACCGCCCACATGTTGGCAGCTCGAGATGACGAAACATTGCATGGATTTGCTCCAAACGTCGCAGCTGCCTTTGTTATGCTCCTCTGCCTACTGACACACCTTGTCTGTCACATAACCCGCAGCATCAGAACAACTTCAAGACCATCCCTCTGAACAAATGTCCGACACACCTAAGATTGCATGTGAAAGATTTGAGTCTTCTTCGATTCAACGCTTTTTAGTCCGGGTATGCGAACTGGCAGCTGCGCAAAGCAGCCTGATTTAATGTTGACTGTAGCTCTTCAACCACCACCACCACAGTTCAACTGACGATGGTTTTGTAGGTGAACGTGTGTCAGCCTGCCAACCACTTCAACTTAATGCCTCCGACTCCAAAAACACAAACTGACCAGAGCGTGCGAAATTTGTATCACTGGCAATCGGACTCGCCACCAAAGGAAACAAAAACCAAAAACAAACAGAGCTGGGCCTCAACCTTACAATTTTATACATAAAAATCCAAAACACAAAATCATTGCAACACAACCTCGTCCCGAACTCTCGTGCTCTTTACCAGTTGCCAGTATCAACAAGCGAAAACTGTTCCGCCAGATGTGCGAATTCCAGTCGCCATCGCTGCGCAGTGCGGAAGTAGCAGCAGAAGTGGCAGGGGCAGTGGCGCAGCAATGGCTGCAGCAGTAGCAGTGGAAGTAGCAGTAGCGGCAGCAACAGTATGAGCAGCGGCAGCAGCAGGAGCCATAGCAGTCGCAGTAGCAGCAGCAGCAGTAGCAGCAGTGGCGGTAGCGGTAGCAGTAGCAGGAGCAGGAGCAGGAAAGAGAGCGGGAGCAGGAGTAGGAGCAGCAGCAGCAGTAGGTGTAGTGGCAGTGGTAGTGGTAGTGGTAGTGGCAGTGGCAGTGGTAGTGGTAGTGGCAGTGGCAGTGGTAGTGGCAGTGGCAGTGGGTAGTGGTAGTGGTAGTGGCAGTGGCAGTGGTAGTGGCAGTGGCAGTGGCAGTGGGTAGTGGTAGTGGTAGTGGTAGTAGTAGTAGTAGTAGTAGTAGTCGTCGTAGTAGTAGTAGTAGTAGTAGTTGTTGTTGTTGTTATAGTAGCAGTAGCAGTAGCAGTAGCAGTAGCAGTAGCAGTAGTAGTAGTAGTAGTAGTAGTAGTCGTAGTAGTAGTAGTAGTCGTAGTCGTAGTAGTAGTAGTAATAGTCGTAGTCACAGCAGCACAAAAAAACAACAACAATCGCCATGGTAATACATGTAAGATTTCATGTCATGTTTCAGGAAGACTGCTGTTGCTGTTGCTGTTACAGTTGCTGTTGCTGCTGTGGCTGCTGTTGTTGTACAGTTGTTGTCGTTGTCGTTGTCGTTGTGGTTGGTGGTTGTACTTGTTGTTGTTGTTGCTGCTGCTGTCGTTGCTGTTGTCGTTGTTATTGCTGTTGTTGTGGCTATTGGTGTTGCTGCTGCTGTTGTTGTTGTTGTCGTTGTTGTCTTCTTCTTCTTCGCCATTGCTGCTGATGCCGCAGATGCTGCTTCTGTCCTCCATGTCATCGCTTTTCTAGCAAACAGCAGACTGGTTGATAGTGCTGTTCGCTACGACTGTAGCAAACACTCAAGACTACCTTGGATCTTGGGTGAATGCGTAGTGCAGCTATCTGCAATACTACGATATTCTCGGGTACTTGCATTGCCAAGGCTCTCCATGGTGAAGAGAGAGAAGAAGCGTAGTTAGAACAAGAGCCGACTGCCAACTCCAAGCATTCGGCAAGCTCTCTATATAGGCTACAGGCTTAGTTTAAAGACTTTCATCTCCACGAACACACATGCATCATGAAATCTGGCAGAGCCTGCTTGCTGATACGTTTAGCTGGACAACAGCCTCCACCCACGGTTGCTTCTTGTCGTCGCCGTTGCACCTTACAATTCGAATGAAAACCGCAGCTGTGGCGGTGAGGATGTTGACAAACACTTGTGGCAGGAAACTGCTGAAAGCAACGTGGCCACATGGCAATGCCCCAACTGACTTCGGGTGGGGACGCCCGTCTAAGCCTCGTAGACTTGATTTCAGGCTTCCCTAGTCTGCAGGCAGAAGCTTACGGCTTTTCGGTGCGCCTTCTAAGATTATGGTCACACAGCAGTCTGTGCTGAGGCAGGGAACCACGTCCTGTCGAAGGCCTTGCCGGGAGTCTGCTCGCGAAGACCTTACATGACATCACATCACCACCAAAAAAGCGAAAGCCTTAAACCCAACCGAGGTCCGGCAGCGCCGAAGCTTAGACTTATACAAGCAAAACCCCAATACTGTATAAGCCGAAAACCCCACAGCCGTATTAACCCAAAACCCCAAAGCCGCATCATCTGGTGAAGCCCTGGGCCTGAATTGGAAAACACAGGGCAGCAAGGAGGACGCGGACATCATGCACGCATGAATCAATCTGCCGTTCTGCGACTATGGTTGGTGTGATCTTCGGGGTTTCAGATTCAGGACATTGAAGTAGGTCATGCCTACAAACACCTATCTCACACGGACTCCTGCGACTCTCAAGCTCCTTGGTACAGGCGACTGCCCGATACGTCTTGCGGACCTTGGCCTCCTGCAGCTCCGGCAGTGCGGGAGCCGACTGTACTGAGTCGGGTGATACCTGGACCCCAACAGTATGTAGAATAATAGCCTTTTTATGGGTGTTGGGCCATCATTTTACTTACTTTTGGGGGCTTAGGTAAAACATGGTGCCAGTAACTTGGCAACCCACCCCAATTTAGGCAAGAGGAGCCCACATATCATAACCCTAGACAGCCTCTTCAACGCCATTTGCTTGGATCCATGCCGGAAGAGGTCCAAATCCCGAAACCCAACAAACCCGACAGCCACATGGCAAGCTCGCTTTTCTCCTCCATTCACTGTCGCCGAGTACACGGGTTCGGATGCTCAGCGGTTTGCCTTGGCGACACGCTCGATCTCGTCCTGCAAGCACAGCTTGAAGAAGAAGAAGCTACGGAAGCCTAGAGTTTCAGGGCTTAGGGAAGTTTGGCGTTCAAAGCGGCTTAACGTTCTCTGGTTTGCTGGGCTTTAGGGATGGGGCGGAAGCTCTACTGCGAAACTCTCTTGTGCTGATATCCTCCCTAAACCGCCTTTGATCAAGCCGCAAAAACCCTGCGGAAAATGGAGTCAATTGCCACGTCCAGGGCCAGAGACATACGCAAGTCAAGCCAACGACGTACGAGCCGAAAATGCTCGAGGGGCCATGGCAAGTCTCGAAAGAGCCGAACCAACCACATCCACACAGGAGCAAGCCTTTTTTGCGGGATGCTGGTGAATCACGACGAGCTTAGACTCTGTAGACAAAGTCAGTACATGGTAGCTTCGAGAAGGGGACAAGCGAAGTCCATGCCACGTAGAGGATGCAACGCTGCGAGACAAAACGAACCTAAATCTGAAAGCGTTCAAAGGTTCAATAAAAGTTGTTGCGGACCTACGGTCTTGTCATTCTGCCTCTACTAAGGGCTCATTTGGCTACGGTTTGACTCACTGACAAGTGCCTCTTACGCACGCAGATTCGCACTACGATCCTACTTGCTATGCAGGTCCTGACTGGGGACTGACAAACACATGTGATAGGGAGTAGCAGGATAATGCAAAATAATGCAAAAACGGAGCTTTGTAACTTCGGCTGCAGTTCTGGTGCAATAGAGCTGGCTGCGAGAGTTGCCCCTGCCCCCTCAAGTGCAGTGAACGCAGCTTGCAAACTGCAAGGCTTAAGCCAAACATTTCTGCAGCCGGCCTTCTTCTTGATGGCATAGCCTGGCAGATGCTTGCACTTTCGTCCGGAGGGCCACAGGACATCGGCCACGTTTACAGCTAGAGGGCCCTAGATATCTAGGATTTACTTGGCGATCACTTCGGGCTCGTCGGAAATGCCAGCTTCAGTGAACAGCGCACCCAAAGGACAGCTACAGCTGGCCTTCTTGCATCCTCTTCAGGGAGATCTGGATTTGTGAGAAGATCTCGCTACAAGTATCTTGCAGTGTCAAAGTGGCCACCGAAGGCACCCTTGCAACCCGCAGTCAGTTGAGCAGGAACTGCCGTGCACCATGCCCTATGCACCCAGCTTGTAACAGTCTTTCTTGAAACCGTCATCCTCTCGGTGCACCTATTTGTTCGCCAGGCCAAGACCACCGGACAACGATGCCCCAAGCAAGATGCGGTGCAGCCAGGGTGCTGTTGGACGACTCCTTTGCCTTGCTTGACAGATGTCGTGCAAGCATGCGGCAACGACTGAAGCAGCAGTGGGATCGAGCTGAGGGCGTGGGGTACCATGGACAGAACAATGCGAGGACCGCCGACACACTGCAGTATTGTGCGGGGGGGGGGGGGGGGGGGNNCGGGAGGAGGGGAGAGGGGGAGGGGGGGGATTTCAAGATCGAGACAACGACGGCAACGTAAGGCCATGACACCAGCCAAGGACTTTCGAAAGCATGGGCAATGGCAAATCAACCCTTTGGACGAACCCACCAACTACAATAACGCACATTGCCTGACACGTGCGAAAAAGCCTGGGAAGCCGCTAGACCGACACTATGTCACTATGACCCATGGCGCCCAGCATGTCATGGCCCAGCTGCAGCATTCATGATCTCATCTGCAAGGCACTCTGAGATAGACTTGATGTTTCCTCAGGGCACTCGGCAAAGTTGATGAGTCGGTCCTTTCTACATCGCTTTACGGTCAATGGACCGAAAGTCTACCAACCCGAGAAACTGCTACTTGACAACCGAGGAGCGGAAAGCGCTGTTTCGGGCTCCTGTGCAGATGAGGTAGATGGCCTGTCAGCTTGGAGCACGATCACCAAGAGAGGGCTTCACAATCACAGTGCAACTTATGCTCCGGACTTAGATTTCAGATGCATGGCACCTCACATGAAACTCAACCGTACGCCAAGCACCTAACACTGAAACTCACAACACCTGAAGAACTCCCATGCACGGTCTCGGTTTTTCGAGTCAGCAGCTCCGTTGCGTTTTCGAAAGCCCAAGTTCTGATGCCACGGCCTGGTTCACTCGTCGAAGCGGGGAGACATCCACAGCCTTTCAGGGGGCTGCTGGGTCCAGGATGTCCAGGCTGGGGACGCTGGGGGCTTTACAGGGCCGAGTGTGCTAATGTTGCCCTCCGCATTAATTGGCGTGGGGCGATTCAGGGCGTCCTCTGGCTTATTATCTGCTCCAGGATTCGCTTTTGGTGTCCGTCGGTGTATGACAACTGAATGGAACTGCGATTTACAAGTCGTGCTGTGGACCACGAACCGCTTCACGCCCACAGCCGACAATAGGACGATGACGGACATGTTCGGGAGCATCCTCACTATTTACATACTGCATGTTCAGCTTGATGCCATGGCCTCATAACTCATGGCCATTCCTACTTCAGCCACCACGATCCATGCCCTTTCTGCCCATCAAGTCTAAGATCACCGGACTCGGCTCCAGGCCAAGATGGCCTAAGCCCGAAAAGTAAAGCCCCGATCCACGGCCAGTGCCTGTCGCCGCACGACACCAGCGGATCCGACACGAGTGGAGTCTTCGCGAGGACCGCCGTTCCTTGGAAGGGCCAGCAAGCAGTTTAATCAGGATGGCAGAAAACAGAACATGAATGTCAGCTAGCTGCTCTGCAAACATACGGTGGGACTGCATTGCGAGTTGCAGGTTTACGCTTAGCTTGTGCTTTTTTGTGGCTCTAAGATAGATCCGGCTGTGGCTGCCGCGAAAAGCTGGCTCAGGGCTTCGTTACGGCTATAGGTGGGAGTTTCAGAAGAAAAAATAAGACGAGCGATCCTCATAAAGGAGCCCTTGTATATGGGCCCATATCCTCAGGCTGCAGGTCTGGCTACGGTGTCGCCCCGAACCCACCCCGAACATAAAGCATTATTCTCGCTTCAGTATTATAATTAGTATTTGAAGTAGAAGCAATGACTTCGTTTTAAGAATGTCGGCCCAGACCCGGATGTCGAATTTCCCAAAGTGACTGTCGTGTCCGAATGTTAGACGCAGGCGACTACACTGCTGTGGCCAACGCCCTGCAGGGGCACGCTCATTCAGCCAAGCTGCTTAACAGCATCTACGAACACCTGCATTTTCGGCGAGAAAGTGAGAAAGAAGCTGGGAAGGTCGAACCGAATCTTCGTCACTCAACTGCTACAGTTAACCGGCAGATCTGACCACCTTCGAAAAAAGCTGCGTCTCTACAGCAAACCTTACCGGAGAGAGTATATAATGACATGTCACACCATACTCTCTTCAAAGGCACGCAGCCGATTCCCAAGTGTGTAACTCTTGTTTAGGTAGGGCATGCTCTGCATGCGTCTGGGTTCCGCTGCTCCGCTGCTCTTGTTCGTCTTACGGTCATTGTCTCAACGACTGTGGACTTCTAATGTCGGCTGTAGCACCATGGGGTGCGGATCAAAATTATCTCCACCGAATTCCCCAAGAGCCGAGACAGGGATGCCGGGAGCTTGACGGAGTCTGAAGGAGCTAGGATCCGTCCCAGGCTTCACCTGGATGGGGTTCTTGTCTGTGAGCAGGTGGATGATCTCGAAAGCGTGCTTCACGATGCGCACTGCCATAAGCTTCTTACCTCAAAGGGCAGGAAAGCATGTCAGGCAGCCAGATCTACCTTTGAATCCCTCCACAATGCAACATCGTGTGCACCTTGGCACTGCATGTAGTTTCTCTGTCTCGTGGGCAGGGTATCATTTCATCATGCTGAACAACAAGAGGAACAGCACTAGGAGTATGAAGCACTGATGCGACTACGACGGCTGATGCTCATGCTAGTGATAAAAAATGTAGGAGCCACTGACATCATCATCACCAGCCACGAGCATCCACAATCCTGGTCGCCAGATCCCAGGAGTGATCTTGACTCATATCTTGGAACATGGCAACCGACGACGTTTCTGCCAAGAGGCCGTTGTTCCTCCCATGCCTGGCTACCACAACAACAAAACTCTCTCTACCCGAAACATATGGGATGGGTGACACTGAGACTTTATCTATAGCCTTCGCGGCTCGGGTTTTGCGGCCGGTCGCAACATCTTTGGGCTTGAGATGTAGAGTGGCTTATGGCTTTCTCATGGGTAGGCACCGCAGGGTACACATTCTTTGCTCCCTCGATATAAAAGGCATTTCGAAAGGATTCATTCACTATCAAAACACTACCAAGCTGTAGGCCCTGAACCCTAAACCCTAAATAAACCCTCCCTGGACCCTTTAAACCCTAAAAAAAAAACCTAAACCCGGTCCTAAACCCCAAACCCTGTAGGCCAAAGGGCATCATGATGGAGCAGCACAGGCGCTCCACGATGGGGCACAGGGCCTTGCGGAATCGCCTTCAGGTCTCTCTTAGGATCTTCGGAAATTTGACTCTCGAGACTTCGGGTCGAGTGTTTAGGGTTTAGGGGTTTGGGGGTTTAGGGCTTTAACGTTTAGGGTTAGGGTCTGGAGTTGTTGAAACGTCGGAATCCTGTATGAATCTCTGGACTAGTTCTTCGGCATCATGGTGTCGACTCTCACGCTAAGGCTTCGCTGCGACTCCCCCGGATGGCGCGACTGGAACTTGCTCGTGTTTCGGACAAACCGCTCATTCCGGATTTTGAAGATGTGGCAACAGGATCTTCGCCTTTTTCCCTGACTCTAGAGCTTGAGGAAAGGCACGGCCTTGCTCGACATAACAGCCGGCATGGACATGCTCAAGGACAAACCACCAATGGCCACTCGGCCACGTATGACCGGGAACAGTTTAGCTGGCGCCTCATCTGGTAGCGTCCCTGTGTATGCGGGAGGAAGGACTGCGCGGCCCTGAGCGTAGCAAACGTGGTCCACAGGCAACAATTTCACATCGATACACGCAAAGCGTAATGCGTGGCACATGCAAAGAAGGACTGGGCCGAATGTTGCCGCCCAGCACGCAAATGTTACGACTAGGCGACAGTCTAAAGTTTGTATCTCCCCCTCTCTCTCTTGCATGTCTCTTGCCTGCTCACAGCAGCATGAGATAGTCATGAACCTGCATGCGACACAGAGAACTGCCGAAGCTCTGGCAGAACGACCTCCATCTTCTCATGGCCAAGATGCTTGTTCACCGCAATGTAATCAACCAAACCTTCAGGCTGAGCCAACTGTTGGAACTACTGCAAGCCGACGTCTAGTTTCCTTTGGATACATTTCAAAATTAGGATCCTTTTTGGGGCCCTTTCTCTCTAAGGGTGCCGTACTATATAAGGGACCTCAAAAGGGACCCTAATTTAGAGAACTACCCATATAGATGTAGGGATCAGGATGCTTTTCAGGTTCAGGGTTCAGCAAAGACCGCACTTCAGGGCACAAGGTCTTCTCTGCAATTCCATGCCCGCTGAACACCCAAGACAGAAGCTTTGTTGTGCAGAGCGACTGAGGTCCGAAAGCATAACATCTTCGTACGTCCACTTCCCGAAGAGCTTGACTTCGGTCGCCGACATGGTGGGCCTCTGAGACGCTTCGGTAGTTTAGTTGTGGGAAGTCTTCGATACTCACATCCTGCGGCGCAGTCTGGCGATGCCATGGGAGAAGCTGCCGTACTTAGCATGCAACTAATGCACATTACCTGCAAAAGAACCAACTTCAGCTTCGACAGGTGTCGGAGAAGGCCAGCAGTGTGTCTACCCCGGACTACCCAGCTGCAGGTCTTCCCGGCAAACCAAGCTGTCCGGGCCCGGGAATGGCCCGCTGTTAGCGTCCGTTCTAAACCATCGCAGGTAACATATCAACTTGACTTCAGGAAACAAGTCACTCCCCCTTCCTGCCCCGATTCCCCTCCACCCACCCGCACACACGCACGCACACACACACGCAAACGCGGAAGTATCCCCACACAAACCTGGATCACATCTCGTTTGAGCTGCTGAGCTGAGGCATGCGCGAGACTGCTCCTGGCTCAATGCCTTTCTGGAGGATAACAAGATCCCTCGAGCCGAAAAACCACAGCGACGATCATGTTGACACGCCCAACTACTAAACGTTGCGACATCCTCTTCTCAACTGGGCATGCTCAAGAAACTGAGGGCAAGAGTCATTTTCAAAAAACCAAGCTTGGAGGACCGTGACAGTCGAGCACTGGCTGGGTCAGTGGCACTTTGCGGCGCGGCAGTTCATGATGGCCTCAGGATCCGCGAAGTTCCGATGTCACCAGCCGGTCTGAAGTCGGCAGTTCCGATGCCGCTGTGAAGTCGGCAAAACTGAACTTCAGAGGCCCCGAACACTTGATGGATTCCCTTGCAACTGCTGTGTGCATCTTCCTCTTGCCAATCTGCATTGCAACTACTACCCTAAACCCTATTGACTATATTAAACTGCACTGGGCCTCCGGACGGTGTAAAGTAAATTCGCCTGCCTAGCCAGCTTGGCGAACTGGGAGATGGGGTAGCCTGGCTGCTGTTGGGCCCCACCGTGCTTACTTCAAGGCAGCGGATTCAACAAAGGGGCGGCGAGCATTGCTTCAGGCTTTCCTGCCGGGTTTAGCGAAAATGTTGCTGAAGAGGCTGACTCGAGGCAATATAATATGCGAAGTGATCAATCGGATGATGCCCGTGCGAAGCAGCACACATGGGTCATGCAGGCTGATAATCATGGCTCGCTGCCAAGGTCTTATAACATCATCACCTGGCAGTCGCGGTACAATTCCATAACCTCCAGACAACATACCCTCGAAATCTCGAAACCAAATTAAGTCACTATAGTCCAACAAACATAGTATTAGTACAGTATGAGCCCGGGCTCCTACGTCGGACGAAGGCACCCGGCGTGATAAACATCAGTGAAAACCAGTTGGCAACTCTGCAAATCGCACAAGCGCAGAAAACTTGAAGGATCAGGACCTTAGCAAGTAGGGTAGAACTATCTTTGTTCAGATATGCCCAGATTAAAAAGCAGATATAACGGTAGTTTTTACCTTGCATAGAAACAATCCTAGAATACAGAGGCCTCAAAATGAAGTTTCACAGGTCAGCCCCT